TGATCATATGCTACCTCTTGAAATGGTTGAACATCAACCATTTCCTTTTGGTACAGTGACTCTGTGTATTCCTTCCATCTTCTTTTTATGCTTTCTGCAGCATTCAGTAATTTGCCCAGCGAATCCTTCAATAAGGAAAATCAAGGCTTGAATTTTTTCTTCAGTTCCCTCAGCTTAAGAAATGCTGAGCATGTTTTTCTTTTTTGTTTTCTGACGCCAGATCTTTGCACATTTTGTTGTAATATTTAACTTTATCTTCTTGAGCTCACCTTTGAAATGTTCAGTTCAGCTTTTGCTTTAACATCTCTACACTGGAAAACAAGTTTCAGTGTCACTTCTGACATCCATTTTGACCTTTTCCGTCTTTCTTGTCTTCTTAATGACTGTTTGCTTTCTTTCTATATGATGTTCTTATGTTATCCCACAATTCTTCTGGTATTCAGTCTTTAGTGCTTAATGTATAAAATCTATTCTTCAGTTGATCTCTAAAATCAGGTACATTCAAAGTCATATTTTGGCTTCTATGGACTTGTGTTCATTTTCTTCAGCTTCAGTTTGAATTTACTTATGAGCAATTGATGGTCTGTTCCACAATCTGCCCCTGGCCTTGTTTTGACTGATGATATGGAGCTTTTCCATTGTCTCTTTCTGCAGATGTAGTTATTTTGATTTTGATGTATTCCATCTGGCGAGTTCCATGTGTCTAAAGAAGGTATTTGAAATGAGCAAATCATTGACTATGCAGAATTCTACCATGCGATCTCCAGCATCATTTCTATCACCAAGGCCATATTTTCCAACTATTGATCCTTCCTCTTTGTTCCCAACCTTTGCATTCCATTCACCAGTAATGATCAATACATCTTGATTGCATGTTTGATCGCTTTCAGATTGAAGAAGTTGGTAGAATTCTCCTATTTCCTCCTCACTGGTTTTAGTGGTGGTGGTGGTGGTTATGTGCCATGGAGTGGTTTCTGACTCATAGCAACCCTGTACAGGGTTTCCGGGGCTATAAATCTTTATGGGTTGGTACATAAATTTGAAGAAAAGTGGTATTAACTGGTCTTCCCTGTAGGCACATGAATATTATCCTATCACAGACAGCATTGTACCTCTTGACTGACCTGGATATGTTCTCTTTGACAATGAATGCAATACCATTCCTCTTTAATTTGACGTTCCCAGCATAGTAAACCATGTGGTTGTCAGATCCAAAATGGCCAATATCGGTCCATTTCAGCTCACTGATGCCTAAGATATTGATGTATATGCATTCCATTTCATTTTTGACAATTTTCAATTTTCCTAAATTCATACTTCGTATATACCATGTTCCAATTATTAATAGATATGTACAGCTGTTTCTCTTCATTCTGAGTTATGCCCCATCAGTAGATGAAGGTCCCACATGCTTAACTCCCATGGATTTCATTTGCATCATCATGGTCAACTCTACTTTGAGGAGGCAGCTCTTTCCCAGTCGCATTTTGAGTGTCTTCCAACCTGAGGGGCTCATTTTCTGGCGCTCTATCTGACAGTGTTTCTCTGCTATTCATAAGGTTTTTAGTGACTAAATATTCAGAAGTAGTTCATCACTCTTCCTTCCTAGGAGGTGGTATAGTAGAACCATAGCTCATCCAGATGTGGTAAATTTTATGAAGCAAAGTTGATCAATTCCAACTTTGTGTATTACTGAGCCTTAAATGTACATATATTTTAGTACTTAACACAATGTAATCTAATTTGTTAATCTGTGTCTTCTTCATACTAATAAGTTTCTTGAGGACTGGGACCATGTTTTATATCTTTGCATCCTCATTTCTTAGCGTGGTACCTCACATTGAAGAGGACACTCAAAATATATTTGTGAAATTTATTTGTGACTAATAAAGAACATTATAAGCCAAAGAAATAGATGTAGATGGTAGATTCTGAAGTAAAACAACAGTATGTGTTTAGTATAGTTTGAATATAGGATTTGTGTTCAGAGATATATAAGATATGTATTCAGAGTAATTATGTTATTAGTATTTATGGCTCATCTGTAGAAAACGACTTATGTAGAATAACTTCATTAGACAGTTTTATTTGTTGTCTTAAAAACATTTTTAATATTTAGTTGTGACTTCCTAAGTATTCTTTAATCATATTTATTCAATCTGTATGCTGGAAGTAATCTGAGAAGCTGGATTTCATGAAGAGGAATGTGACATCAGGATTGGAGGAAGACTCATTAATAACCTACAATATGTAGATGATACAAGTTTGTTTACTGAAAG